AAGTATAAAGGAAAAGAAAGCTGCAGGCTTAGATAACATACCCAACAAATTGCTAAAAATGTCCGCCTCTATAGTGGGACCATCTCTCACTGTGATTTTTCGACAATCTATTAAAATGGGCATTTTTCCTAGGGAGTGGAAAATAGCGAAAGTAACGCCTATATTTAAAAAAGGGGAGAAAATTGACCTAAACAATTATCGCCCAATCTCGGTCATTCCCACTGCTTCAAAGATATTTGAGAAGATCGTTTTTGATCAACTATACGATTATTTGAATGAAAACCAGTTATTGACGGAATGCCAGTCGGGCTTTCGCTCCCTGCACAGCACTGTCACCGYGTTGCTCGAAGCAACGAACGAATGGTCAGTTAATATAGACAAGGGACTACTTAACGGAGTAATCTTCATAGACCTCCAAAAAGCCTTCGACACCATAGATCATGAAATTCTTTTGTCCAAACTATCGAATTATGGTGTAGATGAAGGCTCACTCAAGTGGTTCCGTTCTTATTTACTGACGAGGTCTCAGCTGTGCAGTGTTAACGGAAGTCTGTCTGAGCCTTGTACTGTGAGCTGCGGTGTACCACAGGCAGTAATTTAGGCCCACTTTTATTTCTCCTGTATATTAATGACTTACCAAATTGTTTGGCGCAAGCCATAACAAGAATGTTTGCTGATGATACCAGCATCAGCGTTCATGGTAAAAATGTAGGAGACTTGGAACCAAGCATCAACACTGAACTCACTAATATACATCAATGGTTGTTAGCAAATAAGCTAAGCTTGAATGTAGCGAAAACGGAATTTATGATTATTGGGTCCCGCCAAAAGTTCACAGCGCAATGCGATTCCACTATTAATATTGCGATTAATGGAGCTAGCGTTAAACAAGTTGATCACACCAAATCTTTGGGTGTCACTATCGATAAAAACCTTAATTGGTCAGAACATGTTAACGACATTTCGAAGAAAATCTCATCAAGTATAGGGGCTCTAAAACGTGTTCGCCCATTTATTTCGACCGATAGTGCCATCCAAATCTACGAAGCCTKAATTCTACCCAAACTGGACTATTGTAGTGCAGTTTGGGATGGATTAAGTGATAAACTATGTGTTCAACTACAAAAGCGTCAAAATCGAGCGGCTAGARTTATCACAAGATCTAACTATGACATAAGATCTAGCCATCTCCTTGACCAATTAAACTGGGATACACTTGCAGTTCGTCGTAAAAAACGAAAAGCCCTACTAATGTTTAAGACGATGCAGGGACGTACACCAGTTTACTTACAAAACCTTTTCTCCGACTACCATACTAAATACAACCTTCGAAATCATGATCATAAACTGTCAATACCTAAGCCACACACTGAATATCTAAAACGATCATTCAGCTATAGTGGGGCAAAATTGTGGAATGACCTACCGTTAAACATAAAAGAGGTCAAGTCAGTACGAAAATTTAAAACGGAAATTGATAGTTTGTACAGTAAGAAAAGTTGTAACTAAGGGCTCCACGGCAAACATGTAAAACAGTAACTAGCTTTTTAATCGTAAATCTTTACTTTTAAATATTTTTAGGCAATCGACTGATGTTTTTACCGTGGCAAAATAAAGAAGCTTCCTTCCTTCCTTCCTTCCTTCCTTAATTTATGATGGATATATTATGCAGATGATTCTCTTTTGTTCTTTTTTAATCAACAAGACACCGTCAATCTCAAATTAATTTTTTTCTCAGGCAAAAAGACATTAGTTGATAACTAAAGTCAATAGTTGCAAATTTCACATTTTCATTTTATTCTCGAAAGAATTTTGTTCATTTTCAAGACTATAATGCATCACACGCAATACAAATAAGTAACTTTCTTTTTCTCACATCTCAGGAAACTTTATAACATGCAAATGACTTTTTTGACTAAATGTCTATAACATCTGGACAACAATTTTTTT